GGTTTATATAAGAATCTCGAAAGTGATCAGAAAACTGTAACTTTTGGGGTCACTATTCCTAAACATCAAGGATCAAAAAAGTTTTAAAAATAAGCAGTTTAGTTCTCATGCTCCTTGTTGAGATTTTGTGTCAATACAAATCCCATCAAAATCTGTGCACTCCAAGTGAGCAAACTGAGACTCGTTTAGTCAGACAGATACAGTGGAACTGTGTGTACTGCTGGCATACTTCAATACCCTGTGGCATCTCATTTCTTCTCACTTCCCATATAAGCTAGCCAGAATCTCTGGGTCTTCCTGCATCATGTACAGTTCAGTTAGTCAGATGTATTCATAACTATGGTAGCCATTCTGGCTTCTGATGCATATTATTTAAGCTCTGGCTGTAAGCTCTGGCCTGAGATGGAGGGTGGATTATCTCCACTCTGATGTTAAGATCCACCCTGTAGGATAGCTCTGCTTTACACACAGCTTCTTTTAGTGTATATTGAGGGGATGTGACATTCACTGTCTCTACCTTTCCTGAGAAGTATAGGCCAATGCCTCACGCTACCTCCCAGAAAATACTTCTGCTGAAAGTTATAGGAAGTGCTTGAGGTGTTCTTTTAAGAGCAGCCCTGCTTCAAAGCTGCATTTGTTAAATGTTTCACAAAGAGGAGTCACTCATCTGGGAGACAAAGGCTCCAGAAACTCACACTTAACAAATACAGACAGAATCCTTCCCCAGGTTTCTGTAATAGTGGCAAAGTTATGGACTTTGTACCAGCAGGGATGGAGAAGACACCAGGGTGCCTGCATGAAAAAAGGCACCTTGAAAAATGTAAGTAATTTTAATTTAACTAACATTTAATAATAGTGGTTTAGTATGGGCAATACTTCATTTTTTTTCCTTTATATGTATAACCGCTTTTCTTTCTGGGGAAAAAAAAAGAAAGGTATATTTATAGATAAGGAGAAACAAATTTTGTAGGGCAAGGAGTACTGCTTGCTAGTATCTTCCTTACTGTTTTGCCATTTGGATTATGCTGTGCAAGTGGAGTGAAACAGTAAATTTATTCCACTGAAATTCAATTAGTGCATATGAAATCAAGTTCCCCTGAGGCAAAAATCTGCTAAGTAAATAGAAGAATTCCCTTGCCATGCACCTGTATTTGGAGTAGCTCATCACATAATAGAGATATGAATGGCAAGACAGGCATTTTCATCTTCAGGCTTGAGATTTCAATACTAACAGATACTGCTGAGAGCAAGGCTTCCAGGAACTCATGTGTTGTTTCTGGTCTTTGCAAGATAATTCTTCTCCAAGTAGCACAGCTAGTGGTTCATGGTGACTAGAGGACTCCCTCCAGTGGGAGATTTATTGCATGAACTCTACTTGAAACTGTGCTCTTCTAATGACTGTCTCTCTTTGGCAGCAAATGCATTAGAAGCTATTAATGTCTTGCTCCCTTTTGCCTTTCTACAATAAATCTGTAATCTTTTATATTTCTAAAAACAAGACTCTGTAAAGTGCATTGTGCTTTGCTTCAAAGAGCTGTGGTTTGGTTCCTGAGAGGGATACAAGTGAAACAGTTAAAGGAATTAAAGTCAAGGTTTACCTGCTACACACAAGAAAGAATAGAAAGAAACAGAAAGACTGCTTCCTCACTGTTATTTCTTATATAGAGGAGCAACGGTGGCAGTGGGGCATAAAAGTTTTGTTCCATATAATTTGTGACAGTGGGTTTAAGTGTCTTCTGAATGGGCAGCTGGAAACAAATGCTGCAGCCTCCTTCAGAATGAGACATCCACTACAGATCCCCAGGCCATTTGCATTCTTGACAGTTTTTGCTCTGTGTCCTGTACCTCTGGTTGTCCCTGCCCGTACTCCTTTAATTATAGGGAACAATACATAATGCCAGCAAAAAATGTTTTGTAATACAGCATGCCATGAGTGTTTTCCTGAACTTATATATACATTTTCTGTAGGATTTTTGTAGTACTTCCAGAAGCTGCTATTACGATTAGCATAATGATGATGAAGCATGATAATGATACATGCCTCATTTAAAATTTAATTTTCTGAATTAAGTTTCATGTTCCTTAGGGTTATGATTTGGAAATAGAAATATTTGACAACCAAACAGGTGTTATGATTTAGAAATAGAAATATTTGACAACCAAACAGGTGCAGAACAGGCTTTGACTATAGAAGTTTCCTTGTGACACATCTAATGAGGCAATTCTGCATTTTTATCTACTCTCCATCTTTAATGCAACAACGTAATTCTGTCTTATACTTGTTCATTGCCCTTCTTCAGGTATCTCAGCTGCCATGTTATTGGTATTTGGGTATATAGGTATTTGTCTCCCTACCTAGGGCCTCCATTAATGCTCTCAGATTTTGAATTTGTCTCCCTACCTAGGGCCTCCATTAATGCTCTCAGATTTTAATATTTTTTTTTTCTGAACAGGAGAACCCTGATTATTCCAAATGATCTGCTTAGCTTTTTCAGTTAGAAACAGACTTTTGAAGGAAAATGTTAACATCTACACAGATTAGTGCATTTTCACGAATGTAGGACAAACTTACAGAAAAAGTCCTCATTTTTCTGAGGGAGGAAAAGCCTGTCTTTGAATAGAAGGTAAGCATACCTCCCCTCACTTCCCAACTATATTATTTTATATTTCTAGTTTCCCATGCTTTATCATGTGCAATCCTCTCTCCCAGTCCCTTGCCTCCATTGAAATTGCATATCTGAGCATTGGCTTTTGAGCTGGCACAGGAACTGCTGATTCACACTATGCTCTACTGTACAATACTATTATAAAATACAGTAATAAGAGGTAAGATTTTTTTTTTAGAAAAAAATGCCTTAAAAATTGCTTTAAAAGCTTGAGAAATATATTTTTATTTCTCATTTTCCTTAATCTACATAAATAATTGAAATGTAATAAGAGGTAAGATTTTTTTTTTTTAGAAAAAAAGCCTTAAAAATTCCTTTAGAAGCTTGAGAAATACAATATATTTGTATTTCTCATTTTTCTTAATCTACATAAATAATTGAAAAATACACATAATGTCCTATATTATGAGAAAAGCAAATAATGCACAAGCTTCCCAACCACAAGAGAAAATAAACTGATAAAATTAGGTTTAATTAAAAATAATATATAAATATATATAATATAATATAAAAATAAATATTTTGCTAGCATATTAAGTGTGATTTGTTCTCACAGCAGTTTTGTCCCAGGTTGTTGCATACAAGACACTTTGAATACAGTCTGAACCTGGAATTTGAGAACCAGCCCTGCTGAGTACACCAAGATCTACCAGACATTTAGCACCCATGAGCTCTTACATCAGGATTCTGCTCCCACAGAGTGCTCAGCAGACTGAAAGCATGGCTGTGGTGATAAAAACAGGACAAGTGGAAAGTTCTTGTATAATTTTGACACTAGGGAGATACTGTCAGAGCTACTCACACTACGTTGATGCGATACGTTACTGTGGAATCTGAGAGCAAGGTAGGAGACCAAACTTTGTCTGTGCACACTTGCAGGCGTAAGTTTAAAATTAATATGATTCCATTAACTTCCTTGTTTAATCTTGTAAGACACATCTCAGTTATAGACACATGAAACAGTGTCTCATTTTCACGTTCATGCCTGCGCCAAATAGCCTTGCAGATGGTTGTTTGCTGCCATGGGGACTGCACACCTGTAGCACATACTCCCCCCATCCTCGTTAGAGCACGAGGAGTTGCTGTTCTTGCCATCTCAGTACAATGGGCTTCTCTCAGGAAAAACTGCTGGTGTCCACGCTGTGTGAATGAGGGCAGTTCTCATGGCAACCGCACTTTATCCGCAGAAATGTGCATTGTTTCCTAACACTTTCCCCTTCTGTCTAGAAATGATGTAAAATCCAAGGGAGCAAAAGAGTAAGAAAGAACCCTAATTGGCATGCAAGCGGCAAACACCCTGACACTTATTTACCTTTCACACTGATCACTATTGTTTCACAAATTATTAAGCAGCCCGAAGTATTACGAAATAAGACGTATTTTAAGAACACTCCATTGGGGTTGCTCAGCAACATGCCCATACAATGGATTTTTTTAGACAGAAATCAAGTTCATGCAGGATTCATTACCATCGGATGTGGCAGAAACCAACAGCTATATTGCTTTGTGCCTCAGGGGATTATTCCAGTCACTTCCTCCCTCCCTCCTTTCCTTCCCCCCTTCTCCAGTTTGAGGAAGCTTGTCAGGGCTAGGCTGATCCCATGGGAGGTTGGTAAGAAGAGAGGAACTGCATTGTTGGTGGGACTGGCCGGAGTTCCCTGCTTCTGCCCCAGTGAGGCTCCTGCCAGCAGGGAATGAGGTGGCGTGATGGTGACAGTGAGAGAGCTACACCTTCAACATGGGAATTCTCCGCTGATAGCGTAAGGTTATGTTAAGTCTCCTTTGTAGAACTAGCAGCAGATCGGGTTGGGTTTTGTTTTTGTTTTCTTCCAGATTTCAAAACCTTTTGAATGGGAGAAAGATGTCCCTTGCACTTTTAATGACATTTCCACTCACTTACAAGGGGGCAAAAACTTGTCCTCAGCCTAATGAAAACAAACATTTACTTTGATAGTAAGAACGACCTCAGTTTTGGCAGCCTAAGTATCTTTGAACTCCTCAGACCACAAAGCAGAAGCGCTGCTAGGAAAAAAGCCTCCCCTACAGAGAACAGCCACTTGTTTGCTGGGGAGGCTACGGACAACACTGCTCCCAACTGCGTGGCACAGCTCAGTCTGAGAGGGCAGATCCAGCTGTAAAAGTTCTTGGTCTCATACCTTAACGCAATTTCTGTCCTTGTGACTTTTATTGATGCCTTAATTGTTGCTCTCCACCCTTCCAATAGTATTTGTAAAGCTAGTTCTTAAGTCTACCATCAAGACTGATCACAAAACCTATAATTAGACTATTAGTTAGTAAAAACCATAAAGTACTATATTTATTTTAGATTATTACCTTCTTTGTTGTCATGGGGGTCACTGTAGATAGAAGCCAAGGTAAACAAGGAGAAAATGACAAAAGCCAGCAAGATGAAAGCTACTTCAAGGTTTGTAAAGGGCAGCTCCATGAGCTGTTACTGCTTCACCTAGGAAAAAGAGTAAAGGTTTATACAGCTGGCTGTGGAAAGGGACTGCTCTGATCGTAGTTAAATCTTGAGTCAGAAGGATACTAGATCCTGGTCAAACTGGTTGAGTAACTTTAGCAGGTAAGGAAACAATACTGCTGGCTGATACAAGAATGCAGGTTCAAGCCCTTTTTACAGAGGAGGACTTAGTACGTACATTCCTCTAGGGGATATTCACAGCAGTTATTAGAGTAAAGTTGTGTTTAACTGGCTGGTGTATCTATCTGCATCCTATATTTATTGTATACGTATTTATGTGCAATGCATTTAATTGCAGGAACATATTTTGACTTTGAAAGAGTAGTAAATAACTCCCTATTAAAAAAAAGGATCTCTAAAGATCTATAGTATAGAATAGATTTTCCTAACAGTAAAATTCCTAGTATATAAGAAGTCTACCTTCTGCGTAGTGGAAAATTTAACACACATGAGATAAAGCACCAAGGTTACAACCAAATTACAAATCAAATCCCAATCAATAGTCCAGGAATTCTGAAGTCAATGGAAATTTAAAGTGTTTGCTTGCTCACAGGATTTATCTCTAAAAAGCAGTCTCCCTGAAATGTCAAAACCAAGGAGGCCAATACATTTGTACAGAGAAGTTGAGAGAAATCAGAAGCACATTAAAAAAAATATGAAAACAGCTTGCAGTAATTAAAAGGAAGCCAACACTTACTGATTGCCAGGAATTTGTGTGTACATTCCATTGGGGTTTCTTCAAAATCATCCCAGTTCTAGAAAATAGTTCAGTATCAATGGATTAATCACTCATGTCAATCGCTCACAGCTGGAAGGATCTAATGTAATGTGGTTCCCTGATGTTTTTCAGTTGCTGCCTTGCTGGTGGCAGGTTACAGTCCACATCAGACTAGAGGACGGCGAAAGTAGAAGGAGAAGGCAAAGCTCAATGTTTTTTTTTTTTCTTGTACCTGCCTTCAGGATCCTGGCAATGTGCAAGCAAACTGAAGTAACAGAAGTTGTAGCAATGCCATTGGGGCAGTCGAGACTGAAGTTTGTACATTGTAAATCATGTTGAATTTCAAGCCCTAGTAAAATATTAACATAATTGTAAACAAGACAAACTAGTATAAGAAAGAAACCCAGCTCGGTAAATGGATCAGGAGGAATTTTAAAATTCAGATCCATACTGATATGCAATGATATTGCTATGTTACCAAACCTGTATAGATGCAACTTATATGAAAAATGGTCCTTTGAGAGATCTTTCTGACCACTTTTTGAGAATTTTTTTGCTGTAAAGTCTTGGTTTGAAAAACACAAATACTATCTATCCAAAGTAAAGCATTGGTCATCTCTGACTGTATTAGCTACATGTTAATTAAAGAGGATTGCTAAACTATTTTTTTAAATATTCTGATTATTCTATTATTTTAAAATATAAAATATTTTGACATTGCTACTTTTCAGCTCTGATCTTCTGTAAGCAGGAATATTTCCACAATAGGCAAAGGAGTGGTGCTTGTGAGACCCAGTATCAATTACACCTGAATAAATTAGAGCATGCAGAGATCTTTTGATCTCTGTCACATCCAATGTATCGTCTGCTGATCATTTTTGCAACAAACATTTCTTTAGTAGCTATTATTAATACCACTTTATGATTTCTAAGAGTGAAAACATAGTTACGCGTATTGCTACTTCCCTGTCTGTATGACACATTAATTGCTTACCCCATTTTATACAATAAACTAAAGAATCACCTGTTTTGGTCAGAGGTAAACTTACACCTGTGTATCTGTTGAAAAATCTATTATTGGCTCTATCCATGCTTTTTCTTTGCAATAGGTATTTGTATATCTGCCTGAATTTAAATGTGAATTAAAAACTTACAGCTTTTCCTATATACAGAGTAAAATTCTTTCATTATCCCATACATCAATAAAGCTGATGGCTTTTTCATGCTCTCCTTAATTGATAAAAATAAAGTTGTGTGCAATTTAAGAAGGGACCTGATTTCTGAGCATATGTTACAATTGATTAGAATGTAACCTGCAATTTCCTTAAGAAAAGTCATTAAGCGAAATGGATATATTTTGCATGGTTGTGCATATATGTTTATTCAGTTATGTAAATGATATTTTTACCTATACACCGTTGAGTAGTGTAATATCTATCATAAAACCTTAGACATTAGGCACAACAAGAAAAAAATTAACCTGAACAGCCAAAACTGATGGTTGATAATACTTTTTTAAAGCTGCTAAGTCCTGTTTAAAGTACTCGGAATAGGACATCATTTTTTTTTTTCTTTGCTGTTGGTAGTATTGGTTATCTGGCTGCCATACCTTTAAAAATGAATACAAGTAGAGCCATCTACTGGTGCTGAAGTATAACTATCACTAAAGAGAAGAAGTCACAAACGGTAAAAAAAAAATTAAGGTTAATTCTGAATTTATTCTAATATATATACTTAAACCTGAATGAAGACAACACTTATTAACAAAAATATGCATCTGTCAGAGTAAAATTTTAATTTGACTTAATGTTGAAAATCATAGAATATTATAATAAATTATTAAATTTCAATGTTCAGCTATTTGTACATTGTCCATTGTACACATTTTCTTTCTTCTTGAAGACTAGTTCAATGAAGACGTATTCGATGGAAGACCAGAATTGTCTGCCTATGTCCTGCTGTTGTCATGAACAAAGAAACTATGCAATATTTGTTAAAAATAGAAGGTTTGTGCCTCATATTGAGGTTTATTAATAATTTGAGAAGGCTTTACAAACAGACAAAAATTCTGTTTAGATATCTACAATGCAGCCAAAGAACATCTCCCTTCTCTGGAGATTTTCAAGACCCGCCTTGATGCAGTCCTGAGTAATGTGCTCTGGGCAATCCTGCTTAGCAGCGGAGTTGGACTAGATGATCTCTAGAGGTCCCTTCCAACTCTGTCCAATCTGTGAATCTCTGAATAGGGAATTACCCCTCAGATGTGGTAAATAAAATGTTAAGTTATCTGATATAAATCTCTAAGTTCCTAAGCCATATTTAAAGTTCAAGTTCTTTTTCATCTCTGTAGGAAGAAGTGTTAAACAGAAAGATTGAGAATGAACTCAAAACCAAGAACCTTATTCAGCATCATCTTATGACAGGGAATTTTCAGAGCAAACCGGAGGCGCTGGTGTCAGAAGAGAGCCAAGGCTTTCAGCTGAAACATTGGGAAGGTGTTTGTAAGTAACCTGTCTTTTCCACAGAGTCTAATATGTTGTCACTGTCTACCTGGAAAACTATGAGAACTTTCTTTTCTCACCCCTATAAGATGCATCTTCTGCATTTGTTACAATACAAAGGTTATACAAAACCTTCAATCTTCTTTAGAGGCTGACAAGTCTACCATATGTTTTCAGCTGTGGGATACCCATGTTTTAGGAAAATGTCTTCAAAAAATACCAGTAGGACAAAAATAACTGGAAAGCAAAACATGCTTTTTAATATTAATAACCTCTCAATGCATGGGTTATTCACTAAATTTCTAACATCATTCTCCATCAATGAAAGCAGATTGTTGTGAGCTGGTTAGAAATGAGGAAAAGAAGAATATGCAGATGTGGGAGGAGATGTTGGTAGTGAAAAAATGAAGACAAAAGTTGATAGCCTCGTAGAGAAATTGGACTAGCTTTCACCATTACTATGTGTTTACAGGGACACTATCAAAATACTGTAAAATTACCCCACTCAAGATACAGTTGCTGACATTTTACTGGAGACCAGTGAAACTCCAGATCTTTGTAATGAATTCTGATAGTTTTGGAATCAGATTAACTTGGAAAAAGATAAGGAAGTCAAGATGATTTTTGAAATGTTGTTAAAAGGTTTGTATTGAACTGTATATGTATCTATTTATATATGTGTGTATATATATCTTTATAACACTCTAAAACCAGATGAGACTTGCAGAATGTTCAGTTGCAGCCCAATCCAAGTGATGTATCTGATGATTCATCAGTTTACCAGGTGGGGGAAATGGAGCGAACACCAGAGCTGATGTTCAATGGTTGTATAATGTTTCTTTCTCCAACTTTCTCAAAGAAATCTGTATGAAAAGTAGTTCAATGACCAGATTTCTTGGACTTTTATTTTTGGCCCCACTGGAATCTTTAGAGAGCTGATCCATTACCTTGATGTGGCTTGCATCTCACGAACTCTGTAGCAAGTACCTCCTTAAATACGTTGGTTGACTTGCGTGGGATGACTGAGAGAATAAGGAACTGATTGTCAAGACTAAATCTATATATCATGGCCTTAGAAAAGATGAAAGAAAAATGTGAGACTGAAAAGAAAAATCCACCATTTCTTGAAGCAGGGCTTTTATAATAAGAGGTTAGACAGGGACAGAACTGAGATTTGAATATGAACTCAGTGGGAGCTGGACAGAATTAAATCCATAATTTGAAGTCTTACTTGTTCTTTTTTTTTTTTTTAAAGTCTATGCACACTTTTTTCTATTCTAGGTTGCTTATTGTCAATAAAAATATCATGCATTTTCTTTAGGAATGATAAACTAAAATTGTAGGGAAAAACTGAATATGGGACAGGTAGAAAATATAAAGCAAACATATATTCTATCTATCTAGATGCCTGTTCTTGTCACTGGAAAGAATGCTGCCAAGGAAGTGGAAATATTCTTCATCATAGTGCTTGTATTTAATGTAAATTCTTACCAGTTTTACACCTCCTTATAGACTGACACTGCTGTCATTGGTGGTGTCTGAAACCGATCTGTGGACTTGACCCCATAGTCAACCCAATAGTGTCAGAAAATGAGGAAAAGTAATATCCAAACTTTAAAAATGTTCTGCTTTAATTAAAATCCAAATTTGTAACTGACAGAACTTATTTGAGCTCATAAAAATGGTTGACTAAACCAAATAAAGTGCAAGGGTCAAAAAGTTACTTATGAAAGTGTAATGTCTACAGCTTCAATCTGGTGATTGTTCCTATTGTTGATAATGTGAGATACCTACTTTACACAGGCCAAGCAAAGCAAATATGATCTTTGTAAGTTATTAACTTTAGTTATTTGTCTTAATACAGTGGAACATACATCTACATTTGGTCTCTAAATTTCTAGTTTCCAATTTTTTACATGTATCATGTAATAAAATTATGTTACACTGCCATTTCTTGAGAAAGATTTTCATGCAAATGTAGCCTTCTTTTCTTTAAAGTAACAACTACTGTATTAATGAGAGTAACATTATTCATAAACCTACTGTATTGTGTTTGTTATAAAAAATTCCTTAAGTTTTTATCATTAAAAAAACAGTAATGAGAGGCAGGCTCCATATTAAAAAAAAGAGCTCACACACTAGACAGAATGGATCTGAGGCAGATTCTACTAAAATGGTTTTTGAAGCACTGCCATTAAAGGTACTGAATGAATTTGTTAGTTGTTACACTTTCTCCACCTGTTGCTACTTTTTAACTGTCATTTAATTCTGTTTCTTGGCAGGTCTTTCAATTGTCCAAATATTGAAAAGCTGACTCCTATGCTATAACATCATCTGTTGCAAGTTAACATCATTTGCTAACTTCAAGATGGTGAAGATCTGATGAGCAGCTTCTTCAGTGAATTATAACCTTCTGAGTCATATGCTGTGGTGGGTTGGGTATCCTAATAAAGGAGGAAATTTGTTTAAATTTGGTTGGCTGTTTATGCAGCATAACTATATCCCTGGCCATTAGCTTCAGAGTGAACTGAAATAGAAACAACTGAATCAGATACAAAGGTAAAGGTTAGAGAGGGGCTGTGGAAGGAATAGTCAGAGGAAAAAAAAAAAATTCCAGAAGAATAAATAAGTGTCAACGTGTACAGCGTGTGTATATCAAAGAGGATAAGAACAGCCTTTGGACGTACATATCTGCAACTCCCTAGTTATCTCAGTATATCCAAAGTTCATAGTGGGTATGTTCTAGACTCTTGTTTGTTGAATCTGCTCATTTTATTT